AAAGTCCAAAAAGGCATTAACAAGAACATTAACTTACGGAGGACTCTTGGTCAGATCCGTCTTAAGAATGACTGGAACCCTCGTCATCTCCCGTACATCCTGGATGTAGTCGCCGTTCTCCTCGCGCAAAGTGAACCAGCTCAGGTACTTCTCCTTGTTGGTCAACTTGTTCTCCGCAGCCTCGCCGGCACTTTGAGCAATCTTCGAATCCGAGTTGACGCGGTGAGGAGCACCAGGAAGATCGCGCCTGGTGGGCGACGGGGGCATGCTCTGGGTTGGGCGGTCGGGGTTCAGCGACACACCGGCCATGTTCGAGTTGAGGTCGTTGGCATCATCATCATCATCGTCGTCGTCGTCGTCGTCAAACAGCGCTGCCTCCTCATTGGTGGACATGGTGCCGGTGTCCATTTGCCTGCGCTGAGCCTCTTCTTGTTCCCTTGCACGCTGCTTCGCCGCTTCAGCCTCACGCGCAGCTGCGGCAGCATTGGCCGAACGGAGTGAGCCATGCTTGGGTCTCTCGTCCTCTGGGATGTAGTTGGATGATGGGACACCCTTCTCCCAGTAGAGCTCAAGCAAACGCTTGTTCTTGTCGAACTCGGCCTTCTTGAGAGGAAGCTGATCACAGTGGACGCGCTTCTCGAAGCCCCACTCGGGAATGAGCACGTCGAAAGCAGACTCGTACACGCAAAGGACGATACCTTCGGCGATGAGATCACCGCCACTCTCCTGCCTGACCTTGTCCATCTTGCGGCAGGCTTCAATGTGAACGCTCTGCTCTTGGGCAGAGTGAGCCGAGTCCTTCTTGGTGTTGCACATTTCAGCAGTCTTGGCGAGAGCCTCAATGTCTTCAGTGAACTCAATGGCGCCGTTTGACAGAACAGCCTCCAACTGGCGGTGCACGACGATATCGGCATAGCGGCGGGATGGGTTGGTGAAGTGAGTGTACCTGGGGAGGTTAAGGGCGTAGTGGGGATACTGTTCCTCAGGTAGCTTGCCCGCGATAAAGTACTTGGCACGGGGCATCGACTTGATGACCAAAGTCTCCATACCCTTTCGGAGATCGTCATCCTCAACCTCGAACAAGCTGTTCTGAAGAGAACCGCTGCTCTCTGTGTTGAGTTCGTAACCAATGGCACCCATGCGCTCCGCAATTGTCATCAATCGGCGGGGGTTGGGAGGTGCTTGGCGGCGCAGAAGAGCCTTCTCTGGCAGACCTGCCGCAAGTTTCTTCGCAACTGTGGCGTTGACGAGGTGGCTGAGCTCTTCAATGCATTCGTGCGCAGGAGAAGAGTCGAAGATGTTCTGCTCGACAGGAACGTTCTCGTCGTCCAATTGGTACATTAGACGCAGAGCCTTGACATCGGAAACGCGATCGCCAAAGCGAGTCTGGCGGAACTTTTGCGAGATGTGATGCAGCATCTTGATGTCCTTAGCACGGGCTGCCGAGACTGAATCGTCGTTACCGCTGATAACGGAGTCGACCTCGTCATACGACAGCTTTCCAGAGCTCTTGATCACAGACTTGCCAATCCAAGTCTCATCCTCAAAGACCTTGCCAGAAGCCGGATCGGCCTTGAAGACAACACTGACAGTGTAGCGCTCCTCGCCTGGGTTAAGGCAGCAGATGTCGTTGGACAGCTTAGGGGGCAGCATGTTGACTGTGCGGTTCATAAGGTACACGGCAGTTCCGCGCTTCTTGGCCTCACGGTCAACAAGTGAGTTGGCCTTGATAAAGTGGGCAATGTCGGTCACGTGAACACCAATCTCGACGCGGCCGTCATCGAGATACTTGAAGTGGATAGCATCATCAAGCTCCTTGCTGCCGTTGGGGTCGATGGTGAATGTCTCCTCACCCCTGAAGTCGCGGCGGTTCTTCAAAGCCTCTTCGCCGTCGTTGGCGACCGACCAGTCCTCGAAGCCAACGTTCTTGATAACGGCGTCAGAGAAGTCATCTGGGCCGAAGTTGTTGTCGCGCAGGAGGGCATCGGTTTCCACCTTAAGGTCGCCCATGACACCAAGCTGCTCAACAAGGGTACCAAAGGGATGCAGCGATGTAATGGGCCATCGCTTAATGCATGCCACAAAAATGCGGTCAGCGTATTCCTGGTGCTTCTCGACAAAGTCCCGTGGTGCTTGTTCGGTAGGGATAGCAATCAAGGGCACACGCTTGTCTGTAGGCTTGAACCAGACAATCTTGGGTTTGTCTTGGCGCTCTGGTTGAGTTCGGCCAGTGTTGCCTTCGCGAGCTTGGCGCTCGGCTTCCTGTTTTTCCTTTGTAGCTTGGCTGCTGGGACGGAGGAGTCCGAGAGAACTGTTATATAGATTAGTAAAGAGTCTGAGTGTGCGTGAACCGTGATTGGCTTACCCAGAGAACATTTGTCCTGCGACACGCTCGATGACAGCAACAATGTGACCTGCATACAGAGGCTTGAGCTCATCGTTGATTTCCTCCTCCTCCATGAGGAGCAAGCTTTGTCCCTCGACTTCAACATCATCATTCTTCTTCTGTGTGGGTCGCTGGCGAAGACTGCCACGTCGACGGATACCACCCTCAGAGCCAGTTTCAGGTTGCGTGGTGGCATCGTTGACGGCAATACTAGCACCGCGAGGGTCAGCGTTGTCCTTGCGCTTCTTCTTCTCTTCTTTTTCGCGTTTCTGTCCCCACACTTCGTCAACGTCAAGAAGTTCAACAGCAACGAGATCTCCTTCGAGAGCTCGGTTCCTGTCTTTACTACCACAGATGAAAATGTCAGCATCTAGGTCAGTAGTGGTCACATAGGCATCGCTGCGGTTCTTCTTGTTGACGCGGAGAATACCGGCAACGAGTTGGCCGTCGCCGAGAAGGGCAGGCAGGGTTGCCTGTGGAAGGTAAGGAGTGAATAGTGTCTTGCGTTGCTGCTGCTGTTGTTGCTGCATGTTCATCTGAGGAGCATGCTGGCTGCCGCCAAGGCCACCTTGCATCTGGGCAGCCTGAAGGGCCTGCAAGTGAGCAATCTGCATAGGGTTCAGTGGTTGACCGAACATCTGTTGTTGCAGCAGGAGCTGGGCCTGAGGTGACTGCATCTGCATCTGTGGCTGGCCAGCATACTGGAAGTTACCAAGACCACCAAGGGACTGGTTGACCGATCCACGACTGCGGTGACCGGGCTGGAAAGGAGCGGCATTGGCGGTTTGATTCATGTTGAAGTTGCCCATGTTCTGGGACTGGTTGTCTTGAGTAGACTGCTGCTGGTTGTTGTTCTGGGGTTGTCTCCAGTTGCCCTCAAAGTTGCGTGATTGGCTGCGGCCATGACCTTGGCTGCCACGACGCTGGAACTCGCCCTGCTGAGTAGCCTGGTTGGTAGGATTCTCACTTGTAGCTGGGAAGGAGAAAGATGGTCCGCCTCGGCCAGCGCCTCCACCACCACGTCCGACAGCCATGCTCTGGCTACGGCCGTGGGCGCCTCGTCCACCTCGGCCTGAAGGAGTGTCGTTGGCAGCACCAGGTGCGCCAGGGCTTGCATCACGGTTGGAGCTGCCCTCGTTTGAGCCTGGGATAGGGAACTGGAAGCCCGAAGTCTTCCGCTTCGATTCGGCTTGCTCAGCAGCCTTCTTGGCATCTGCGAGAGCGAGTGAGTGGCGACGGGTGTGACCAGAGCCACCAGCACCGCCACCGCCGCGGCCACGAGGGTTTACATTCTCTCTGCCTTGACCACCCTGTTGTGCACCAAAGTCGCCGAATCCAGAGGCGCCGGAAGAGGGTGCAGGTGGGGGACCCAGACCAACGTTGGGTAGGGCGGACTGGTTGCGGCGGTGAGCGGAGGGCTGGGCGGGAGCGTTCATTGGAACAGCGAGATGCTGTTGCTGCTGGGGCATCTGCTGGGCAAATTGGTAGTTGTTGACCTGGGGAGAGACACTGGGCATCTGGCCCTGCATCTGAAAGTTGCCCAGCTGCTGCTGTGGCTGGATCATACCCATGTTGACATATTGCTGGTGTGTTGCGGCGATCTGCTGCTGTTGCTGCTGGAGGACTTCAATCTGCTGTGCAATGGCTAGTTGTTCCACTGTTTCATGCGTGTCAGCAGCTGCTAAGCTTACAGGATATGCGAAGTGGGCGCCGGGGAGTTAGGCAAACGTACTCATCAGTGGCGTCAGCTCTGAGGGACTGCGGCGATGCGCAATGTGCAGACGGCGGCCGGCGGGACCCATGGGGCCCTGCTGGCCTTGTTGTTGATCCATATCGGATGGGTGTGTGTGATGTTTTCTATGCCCGGTTGCGGAGCGTGTGTGCTAGTCGAGGAGTGATGGACGGACTCGGAATGGCCAAAAAAGAAGCTTGTATAGTCTGGTGGGTGTGAGCGAGAGGAGCCCAATGGCTGGATGCAGCGAGCGAGAGGGTAAAAGAAAGGTAAGGGATGCGGGTGAAGGAGGCGGATGGACTGGAGGGCTGGAGGGCTGGAGCTGGTTGACGCAGGGCCGGCAGGTGGCATGCTTCAGAAGGAGCTAGCGGGGAGGGGACAAACTCACGTAAGAGCAAGCGTGCTTGTCAGGCGGTGCTTTGGGGAGTTGAAGAGGATACTTTTTCTAGACAATGGGTCGGGGAGAAGCTCTGCAGGTGGCGAGAGGGGGTGTCGTGTCTGGACCGATGGATGGATATCAAGGTGACCGGGGGGAGGGCGTGATAAGGAGGGTCGAGCTGGTCAAGGAGCGCGGATTCCCTGGAGCGGGTTGCTGTGGGCAATGCCAACACGAAAGAACGGGGCGGAGAGAGTGCTTCGAAGGAGGGAGCGATCGAGGAGAGGATATGGAGGGGGGAAGGAGGGGGGCACAGAGGGCTGCAGGAGGAAAAGGGCAGAGAGAGGGCGGGCAGCAGCGTCGACGGGCGATGAAGGTGGTGATGGGCTATGGCGGGACTTGGCCTGATGGTCGGATTGGGAAGCGATCGGCACGTGCTTGTCCGCCGCAAACCAGACCTGTGCTCACGTACGTCACTCCGGGGGGCGGCGACGGGATGGGACGAGATGGGGATTGGGGATGCGAGGGAAATAAAATGGGCCAAATGCACAGCACCCGCACCAAGCACCGGGGATCGAGGGAGACGAGCGAGGGAGTGTCGAGGGTCAGCGCCGGGCTATGAGGGGACTGAGGCACTCTTGCAGGCGTCGACGCTCTATATACGAGATGGATGCGTACCACCTCGACGCCCTCGCCTCGCCCTCGTCCACATATCCGCCTGCTGCGCGTTCCAGTCTCAGTGCGCGCCGGGTGAAGCAGCACGTTTTGGTCTACACGTTTCACGCATGGGCAGGCCCGCACCGTTTCTGATATTATCACAACAGCTAGGCCGCAGACGGCGGCACGCCCGCCACCGCCTGCGCGGAAACACGAGCCCTGGGCACTGCTGTCTGGGGATGTGATCCTCGCACTCGCCCTGCTGGCTGCTACACTGAACAAGGAGAGATTGGCGTCGTCGCCTAGCTATGTAAAATACGCCCATCTGCGTCGGATCACAGTGGGCCATGGAGGATGCCGAGCAACAAACTGTCACATCAGGCGTCGTTTGTCAGTGAAACGAGCGCCTTCAGGGTGCACCGAGCCCCGGTCCCACCAGCTTGCGGCGGCACACACACTCCACTCGACGCGTCTTGCTGAAGTTTATGAAATTCCGACACACTTGTTTGTCAACGGCACGACTCATGTAAGTATCCCTGGGCCCCCCTTCTCATCTCACTCGTCGCTCGATAGCGACAGACGGATGCGGACACGATCGAGCTGTCCGACGTGATCGAGCTGGCACCGACTCGACCGCCCCGGCCAACACCAGGCTAGCGGCAGAACATGCACGTATACGTACATGTACCCAAGTACTAGTAGAGCGCTGGCGTCACCAACAAACTCAAATATGTATGCCCATGTACCTGCATATCAATGCATCCACCACTGTATACAGAAACAAATACAACGAAGAAAAAAAAACATAGCCCAAGGCATGGCTCGCTGCGGCCAGGCGTTGCTGCTGCCCACGGTGGCAGCTCAGAATAGACAAAGAACGTGTCGCCAACGCGGTGACAGCTGCGACAGGGATGTGCGGAGAGATATGCGCGCTCACGTGACTCCGGTGCTGAAGTGTACAGCCAAACTACTAGCGTCCAACCGACCGCTTTCACCTCTTTTCACCAACCACCCTTTTCCCAATCGCCCTGCCCTGCCCGATCCCTCCTCCACGTCGCCACAATGCCCGCCAGATCGGGTACATCGTCCTCCAGCATGCATACTGCGACTTCGTTCGGCTCGAGTTTCCTGGATGCTTCTCCGACACGCCTATCGCCGAACCGAAGCAGCCTGCGCCCTCACCGCGAGTCCCTTGTTCGTGACCCCTATGAAAGTCCGAACCGGAAACTCGCGCTGGAGTTTAATCTCCGACTCAGCATTTCCGACAGCCAATTCAATGAAAAGCTGGATCAAGACGCAGCCGAGCGGGCAAAGCGACATGCCGAACAACTGGCCTACGCGGCCGAGGAACACGAGCGCGTCTTTCGCACCGCAAAGCTAGAGATTGAGCGACTGGCCTTGGAAGAGGAACAGGCTCGTCTCCGCCACGAGGAAAACCAGCGCAGGGAGATTGAGCGGCTGCGCGAACAAAAGGCTCGCGAGGAGGAACTAGCGCACCGGAGAGCTCTCGAAGCAAAGCAGCGCGAAGAGGAAGCCGCCCGCCAGGCTGCTGAGCACCAAAAGAAGCTTCAGGAGGCAGAGGCAAGGATCAAGGCTCAGCGGGAACAGGAGGCTGCAGCCGAAAGGCAGCAAAAAGAAAAAGCAGAGGCCGATCGAAAAGCTGCCGAGACCGCCGCTGCTACTGCTGCTGCTGCTGAGAGAGCTCGCCAGCAAGCTCCACAACAACCAGCACCACAGCCTGCCGCTGCCGCACCTGCCCAAGTAGCTGCGCCCAAGCCGGCGACCAGTGCACCAGCGCCAGCCGGCAATTTTGAGCAATTACACAATCAATACATCCAGCTCCACCAGCGCATGAAGGAGTTCCGCAAGACATTCTGGGAAGAACATAAAAAACCATCCTCGCCCCTCAAGGGTCCAGTTGGTGACGCTCGGCGCGCCCTCCGCACTCGACTTGGTCAGATCAACGTTGAGCGCAAAGACAGCGCCGCTGCCATCAAGCGGCTCCGAACAGAGTGCTTTGACGTCGCCTTGGCAACATCAGGGCCCATGATTGATATCCGCCCATATATCGTTTCGCATCAGATCCCGCAACTAGCCAACGAAAACGACGCCGCATACCCTGCTTTCCTGCTTTACGTCTGGATCTGCTTTGAAAAGTTCCTTGTCAAACAATTCGAAAAGGAGGCAGCAAACACAGACGGTCGCATCATCCAAGAGATTGGCCTGATTGCAGCCAGTCTGTTTGGTGATCAAAAGTACATGTGGAACGGCCTTCCACTCACCGACATCGCCCTGGCCAAGTTCCACAAGGCCTGCCCACCTCTATTCGGCATTCGTGGTACCATGGATACAAAGGAAGGCCGATTACGATTAGGATGGAGACCAGACTCGACCCCAGAATCCTACTCTCAGCGTATGCGTGGTATCGGCGCCGGCTATGCTTCCATGTCTCTCCGCTCATTCGCATCCAAGACCCCTGCGATAGCAACATCAGAGTACTGGAGAGCCATTGTCTCAATCTGCAACACCCCGCCCGACCAACTCTGGCCTGGCCACTTCGCCATCCTCAGCGGCCTGATCCGCGACTACTACAAAAAGTTCATCCAATTCTACGGTGTCCCTGCTCGCGCAGTGCTACGTCGCGCTGTCATTGACCTCCCCGCCCGTGCGCCCCCGCGTTGCAAAGACGCCGCTAGCACCATTGCTGTACTACACGAAAACTGGAAGAGAGAAAACCTTTCGCTTGAGTAGGACGTTCATGGTGTTTTTTTTTCAAAAAAATTACCCGATAAAAAAACAGGATTTGGTTTAGAGAAGAGATTTTTTTGATGAGGATTTGGCATACGTGCCTTTCTTGGGCCTTTTGGGTTCAAATAATGCATTGGGACCGGCGCTTTTATTCATCAATCAGCTCGTTAAGGAGCTGTTGTCTCTTGATGTGTGTGTGTGTGTTTCTTTTTTGTTTCTTCTCTTTTTATTCAATCGAGAATCTATACAACGAACCAAGGTTTTTCTCCTGCGTTTGGGCATTACATACTATAGGAATAGCCTACGCGGTCACACACACACACATACACTTTTCACCGATAACTACGAAATGAATACTTTTGCAACGTTAGCACCGTCGTCTCCCCCTCCCCCCCTTTTTTTTAGGGGGGGTTCAAAACTGTCGAATCTAAATCCCAAATCTAAACATCGAATAACGCTTCAAAGTAAAAAAAAAGCTAAAAAAAAAACTCACGGATATCCCAAACACCGGCAAAATCCCAAGCTCCAGAAATTAGCACCGTATACCTTATCTTCACTCACTTTTGTCTTGTTCGTCAAACTCCCCCCCCCCCCCCATCTGGCCTCCTTGCCCAACGAATTCAGACTCATTACGCTGTCTAGCTGTACAAATGAGCGATGTTAGAGATCTTTTTTTCCCTTGTGGTTGGGGTTGGGGTTTGATATGAAAGATCTGCTGTATACAGCGAGTATATTGAAATGGTATTCATCAGGAGGACGGGAGGGGGGCGGGCGGGCGAGATGATAGTGTGGATAGAGGGATGAGTGTGAGAAGGAAGGTAAGGGAGTTGAAATAGAGAGAAGGGGGGGGAAGGGAGGTTAGGTAATAGTGGTGGGGAAAAGGGCATGAAATGTAGAGTTGGAGGTTTGGGTTAGGTGATGTGTGTGATTTGGGCTTGGAACGACGTGGAAATTCTGGAGTGGGGGGGTTTGATGTGGTGATGACAGGTCCGTTGTTTGTCACGTATAGCATTGGTGTTGGGTAGTATGGTCTGTTACTATCCTCTTTTGAGGAAGGATATTCCGGTGTGGAATGGAAGTGAGAAACGGAAGTAGTGTAACATTGGTAAATGCGGTAAGTTTTGCTGTGGGGTTTGTGAAGGGTTCTGCCTTGCTTTTATTTTTTTATTTTTTATTTCAATTTGAATAGCCCGGTTCTTTCTTTGGTATCCATGTGTGAACGGAGCTGGGGGCATCTATGTGGGTTACACAGCTTTCACGTGGCTTAATAGATTAGTGAACTTCGATAATATGCACATACGCCCAAGAAAATCAAGGAATATCCCCGCTATTATGTGTTTTCGGAATTTCTTGCATGTCGAGTACATGTTACATGCACATCTTTTTTGTAGGTTTAGTTTTTTTTTTTAGTTAAATCAACAAGAAGCCTCCCATCACATGATGCTTTGGCAAGGCAAGCTTGCTGGAAACATGCAATATGAGGTAAGATGCACGCAGAAGCCCCCAAACAAGCTTCTTACTCGTAGACAATTGTATGCGGCTTTTGCCGTTCTTGCACAGACGACTTTGACTTGGTCTTGTGGCGCAGCTGTTTTTCGCGAAGCCAGAAATAGCATAACTACCCACACCTTAGCGAGGGCGCTAGTAGACAGGCAGAGCAGATTTGGGGTCCAAACTGTGCATGGCCCTTTCCCCGTTATCGGACGACCCACATCACCACCACTTCAACACCACGCCTGCTGGTTAGTGGGTGACATTCTTTGCTCTCACAACTCGCCACGCCGCATCTGATGAGCTGTCTCATTCCTACAAGCCTCTGGTCGGCAAGACGTGGTCTTCCATTGGTCTTCCGACCCCTCTCCTGCAAGTAACTGTACCATCTTAACAGCGTGGCGCCGCAGCGGGAGCCTCCACCCCTCGCATCCTGGCTTTGTGGCTTACCGCAAAATACTCAGAAAGAGGCCTCCGTCTCTTGCAAATTTGCGCACATTCCCCTCCACTCCCTACTTTTGGTTTGGTCTAGGCAGACTTGCAGAAGCAACAAAGAGGAGGGACCAGCAGCGTTCAGCCTTGTGCTCGCCGAATCGTGGTTTGCTTCCGCTCATTTCTCCTAGCGCTGGTGGCCGTGTTGGCCTAACTCCCGAAACTAACATCCTACAACACACCTTAGTTTAAGCCGCATGTTTGTTTGGACATTATACAGTCTTTCTCATGTTGTAGAGGTTTTTAGGGTCGTTTGACGATTTGGTCAGCGCAAAGTGACGTGTTGGGCAAGTGCTGGCGACATCAGCCCTCTAACGTTGGCAGTTCCACCAGCTGAGCTCATACTCTCAGCTGCACGCGTGAATGCAGTAAGGCCGCAAACCTTTTTTGTCCGTACGTGTTAGGAGACCCCAAGTCGACTTGCATCATGTCGGTGTGTATGGCTCGATCATGGCGCCCCCTAGACGCATGTTTAGCACACTCAGTCTACCACCCTGTGCCACCGCCATTTGGCCCGCAATCCTTTCTCAGTATCTCCCTACTTGACCGGGTGCAGTCATAGCTTTGACGGCCCTTCTTCACGTCCTATCATTCGCCAGGCATCTTCGTTTCATCCTTCTACCCAAGGGCGCAGTGGCCTTTTCCAAGATGGAGGGCCTAGTTTTCCCCACACGTGCTGAGGCTGAGCATCTTGTTTCTTCTGTGACGAACGAGAACACGTAGTGGACGCCTTTTCGCCGATTCGGCGCCATCAGTCTTGAGATCTGAACGCGTCTATGCACAGTATGTTTCATTTAACAGGCAGTTATATGTCTGCCTGGTGCCCGGTAGCTGGGTTCTGGCCAGTTAAGGTTTCTCTACCATCAAGACTACACTGCCACTACCCGTTGTCCAGACTACCGGAGCATAAACTACCATTGTATATCTCTTACACTATACCCTCCTCCGACACGTCACAAGTCCACCCCAAAAGCCTCGACTACAACTCAACCCTCACTGAACGCACTTCATCCAAACCACCTCGCAAAATCTCATCACCATGGCTCCCACCCCAGAATCCCCCTCCCCCGAAGCTTCCCCCACCCCCACCGGCTCCCTAAAATCCCAAACCCCAAAAACCTACTGGACAAAAGCAAACATAATCTCCACCACAATCTTCATCATAATCTGCGTTCTCCTGCTCATCGGCGCCCTCTCCCTCTTCCTCTACCGGCGCCGTCAAACCAAAAAACACGCAGCCCAAAAACCCGACGCCGCCGCCCTCCTCCCTGATAAAGACAAGGCAAACATGTTCAGCCGCGACCGCGCCAGCAGCGTAACCCTTTACGTCGATTCCCTTTACGTCGATTCCGATGCCGACGACCGCAGAAAACGCACAAGCACCGATACTATGCATCTAGTCCCCCTACACATTACTCCCGTGGAAGAGGCCAGGGATCCGCTTGCAGGGCTTAGTGCGGGTCCCGGGCGCGCTGTCACTACGGATCGTGCGGTCAGTGTGGGAAGCAGTGTTAGTGCGGTGAGTAGTAGGACGTCGCAGGGTTCCGTGCTGTTGAGTCCCGTGGGGCTGGGTGAGGATGCGGATGCCGGTGTGAGGAGTGTGGGGCGCCCGAGGAGTACGAGTACGGCGTCGACGCGGTCGAGGTATTATGAGAGGGCTGATGTGGGGGGGATGCCGGAGGTGCCGAGGATTGTGCATACGGCTGTTTAGAGGAGAGTGAGGGGGTAGTGGAAGGAAAGAGGGATTGTGAGAGGGAGTTTTTTTTTTCCTTTTCTGTTGGATGCATGAGGTTTGGTTATTGGTGGGTTGGTGCTATATCGATATACCCTTTTTTTTCTTGTTCTTTCTTCATACAAAATTTCATTGCTGGAGGTTGTTTGAGTGGTTTTGATCGTTTCTCTAGACTAGAAATAAATAATTCTTAGTCTTCATCCTCCTGTATACGCGCTTCATCACGAGCAATTCCATCTTTACAATCAAAAAAAAATCATTTATTGCGTAATCGATCCAGTGAATCTAGCCTTGCTTCCGCAGTGTAACCATGTACGCGTGTTTTCCTCACCACCAGTCTTGTGACGTATTTCCGCCCCCAAAATATGTGATCGTTGATTTAGTCATGTGTTTTACAACTTACAAAATCTACGTGAACTTCTCTGACTACTCGCTCCAACGTAAGCACTAAACGGGTGTTCTGCAGCATTGCCATTGCTATATTTGGATCTTTTACCTCCGATATGCAACGATTGGATGCGCGCGTGGCGATCTCTATTTGCATCTACAGACATACAAGTACGCGTACTCGATACTTTTTCTGCTTGGACCATCCTAGTAGAGCAAGAGCAATAGGTCACATTTGTATGAAAAGAAAACAAAAAGAGTTACGTGTACAGAGGTATTTGGTTCTTCGCCACGCCTATCATACCATCCATCTAATTATACACTCTTGCATGAGCAACCTTTCTACTCACATCTTTCCCGCTTTTCAGCATCGCTATCAAGACAAATCCACGGACCCATGACGCCCATCGCTTTGCTTCAACGCTACATTTGTCGAGAACACGGACTAAGTTCACGACATAAAAAAAGAGAAAAAAAATATATACGAACAGCTCTCACTTCTTCGCCACAGCCCCCACACTCTCCTCACTAAGCTCCCACTGCGGATCCCAATGCACATACTGCGCCATAGCAACACTCAGCAGCCATTCCGTCTTGACAATGCGAGGAATCATGTCGTGCTTCTTGGCCAACTCCCTAAATTTATTCCAGTTTGTAAATTCCCTCTTGTCAGCGTCGGAAATCAGATATAGCACATCACCCTCATCCTCAACTTGGTTCTGACTAACTTCTTTATCGGAGGTATTAAGAATGCGCTTGGAAGCCGAGACAGTAGTTGGTCGGCCTTTCCAAAGCGAACATTTGCCGCCGTTGACTTCGATAATATCCTTGTAGGTATCGAAGCCCCCCGCGACCTTTTCCGTGCAGAAAATGGTCCAATCTTTGAGGAGACGATGGCGGTTTTGCTTTGCGCGGTCCAGGGCTTCGGAGAGTTTGAAGTTGTTTGCTTTTTCGAAATCCTTGTCTTGGAGAAGGTGCTTGTCGACTGGGGGAAGCTTGTTGTGCTTGAGGGCGTAGTCGAGGTAGCTTGTTGAGACGAGAGTGGGTGCGCAGGCGAGTGAGGCAATGAATTTCTTCGTTCGGACTGGATGTGGGGCGCAGACGAGGTCTACTTTTTTGAAGTCGTCGGTAATGAAGAGGCCCAGCTCGCGTAGACGTGCCTTGTCTTTTGATTCTTTATCTGGATTGTTGGTCCATCGTTCGTCTTTTGAGATCAACATGCGGAACTTGATGGGAGTAAGCTTCTCCTTCTTTGCTCGTTTGTTCTTCGCTGGGACATCTGTGGTTTCTTCTTCTGTCTCTTCGTCTTCTTCATCTTCGTCGACTTTGTCGAAAGAGCGCTTACTCGACACAGAATCACGACCACTTTTTGTTTGTTTTGCTCGTTCCTCAGTCTCATCCTCTGCTCGTCGACGTCCGCCATGTGTGACGCCGCCCTTGCGCTTCATTTCTTTTTCGAACTGGGCAATATCCGGAGCAGCATCGTGTAGCTTTGACAATGCTCGGTCCTTGGCACCACGGCTGCCTGGTGTATGGTTTTCCTTTCCATCCGTTTGTCGTGCAGGCGCTGGGGTTTGCACACTACCTCCCGATTTGGCACGTTTAGCCTTCTCAGCCGCAGGCGGGCTGCGTGCTGGTGGAGGCTCGCTTACTCTTGGTGCAACATTGGGTGCCGGAGCATTGTTGATTTGAGGCGCTGCTTTTGCAGCCTTGGTAGGCTTCGTCTGCTTGGAGAAGAACACCTTCTCAGTGGCTTCACGGTCTATCTCGGTCTGGCCCAAGACTTCTCCAAGGTTTGTTCGCGCTGGAAAGTATGTGTAGCGACTGTCCGTCAGTGGCATCTCTCGGCACTTGGCGTAGCTGTCTTCGAGCCAAAGATGGTTGATAATGTTCACACCCCACTCTGTTGCTGCTTCGCACTTTTCACTGTTCTTGTGTGCAGCAATAAGATGTGTGTTGTCCTGTTTGAAGGTCTTTGTGAATTCTGCGCCAGTCGCTTTGATCAAGTTCTCTAGGTAAACGCGTGCTTCGCCCGTATAGCTCGATATGCTAATTTTGTACTTGTCGAAGCCTGGAATGCCTTGACGTGGCCGTGGATAGTGCATCATTCGCTGCATTGGATTTGTCCAGATACCGTGAGTGATGAGATAGTATAACCAGCCGAGGTTTCCAACATCTTTACGTGCTTGCGAAGCCTTGACATAGTCGGTACCTTCCCGGTAGTTGCACACGTACATATCCGCCTCGTCTATTTTGGACGTCACACTGCCGCCGCCAGCCTTGATCATGCCTATTATGATGCCTCTGAGCTTAGTGCTGATATCCAGGTCCTCTCCGAGTTTGACGCTTTTCCCTTCAAAGGCTTTGATCGCACGCGGGGGTTCGAGGTGAGGTGGGGGTGGCACAGGCTCATTCTGGGGGTCTGGCGTGGTAGCATCTCGAATCTGCTGGCTTGTTCGTGTCGGGGGTATTGCGCCTGGTTCAGCGTCGGCGAGGATCTCGGGATTCGGGAGTGTGTAGGGGCGTTCTGATATTCTCCGCCCAACCTTCAGACAGTCATCGAACCTGGGAATGTCAGCGATAGCCGTACCCCATGTCTACAATGCAAGCGGTACCAGTGGGGGAGCACAATCGTAAGCTGCAGGCGCTTGCTGATCGCCAACTGGCACCGTGGTTCGCTGATGTCCAGTGCAATAAGATGCGTCACCAACTTGGACAAGCTGGGTGCAATTTGCCCGCCCATTGCCAGCACGCCGCCTTCGATAGCCTCTTTGTCTCCGCTAGGTATGTCCCCGCAACATATGACGACGTCGTTCATGAAGAGGGCTGGGTCTGGGCTGTAGGTCCGCGGGTTCTTGGTCTTCATGGCCTGGAGGGACGCGTCTACCCATGCTGGCCTGATGACATGTATCATGAGATCGAGGGCACGGTAGTAGTCAGGGAAGTCGGCCGTCTCCGAAACGATGTAGTTGATTTCTTGAAGATTATCTATGTGACCCTTGGGGGCTTCAAAGGGTACTATCGTCCCATCTGCGCCAGTAATGGCATGTTCAATCTACACTGTATATCAATATGGCTCTCTCAAACTCAAGTCGCAACGCGTCGCATACCTCTTGTATACGGTCTTCGGATAGACCATTGGGACATATGGTGAAGCTGAGGTCTACAAACAATCCTGGAGAGCCGTCCTGCATAGTTGTGTCCTCCATGGCGGCGATTGACTGTGGTATGCCGTTGTGGGGAGAATGCAGCACCGCCGATATTCTCCCACCAGGCGCGACTGGCGGCGCGTATCGGTGCGGCGCGAACGCGACATGTGTCACGTGATACCCCACACCAACACTTCCGCTCCAATTCCGTCACATGTATGGGATGGCCAGGTGCGTGGGGGCATGAATATCCCTTTTCATACTGGCTGCCTTCATGGCCACTATTCCGAAGACCTAGAGGGATTCCGGCTAGCTGATTAGACCGTAAACCTACTGGTTTACTCGTGCAGTACTGAGTCGCCGCATCCAGACGGACCTCGGCAGTCTTCCCCAGATTATGCCGGTAACTCGTCACGACACCTGGAGCATCAACCCACGCTTGCTTTTGTCTTCTTCTCAGCACACAAAACAACCATCTACCCACTCTGATCGCGCCCGGATCCACTCCCTTCACAAACCACTTCTTTTCCACATCATTGTCCACAGGAGCAGACTGCGGTCGCGCCCGGATAACCCCTTATCTAATCATGTCTTCAACCTACTTCAGGATAGACGAACACAAGATACCAGCTTCGCATATCCGTGGATTTCCCCGATCAACGGCGACAAAACAAGAAGAAGTACTACATTTGGCCGTGAAGCAATACACGCCACTCAGCAACAATAGCCCCAAGCCCGGTGACATTACCATCATTGCCGCGCATGCCAATGGGTTTCCAAAAGAACTGTACGAACCGCTGTGGGATGAGCTGCTCAAGCGATGCGAACAGCACGGTTTTGGTATCCGCGGAATCTGGATAGCAGATGTTGTGCACCAGGGCTGGAGTGGTGTGCTGAACGAGGGTAAACTGGGCAATGACCGTATGTAAGCTCACATGACCGTGCAAAGCAAAAAGCTGATCCTGAATAGCGGCATGGCTGGACCACAGCAGAGATCTCCTCTACATGGTCAACCTCTTCCGTGACCAAATGCCCCGTCCCATTGTTGGCGTAGGCCACAGCATGGGCGGCTGCCAGCTCGCAAATCTTGCTCTTCTCCATCCCAGGCTGTTTGAGACGCTCATTCTCATTGACCCCGTCATCCAAGGAAAAGTCTCTCTCAACGGCAACATTTCACCCGCGGCCGCATCAGCAAGGCGCCGAGAGCTCTGGCCATCACGGGAGGACGCAGCAAAGAGTTTCGCAAAGAGCAAATTCTACCAATCCTGGGATCCGCGCGTACTCGATCGCTGGGTGAAGAACGGATTAAGAGATGTACCGACAGGACTGTTCCCCGATGCGAAGAAGCCTGAAGTTACCCTCACAACAACCAAGCATCAAGAAGTCCTGACATTTCTCCGCGCAAACTTCACCGCAAAACCAGGAGACAAGGAGCCCTCATCT